CCYCCCCGCGCATCCCTGCCCCTCACCATCCTCGCCCAAACGCTCTTTTTTATTCCCTTCCCCATTTTTCCCCAATTTTTCCCCCTCAGCCGATGCCTTCCCGCCTGTCCCTTCCTCAGGACGCACAAAGCCGGGATGGGCCACGAAGGCGCATCCTTTCCCCCCCTTCCCCTCCTTTAATTTCTGCCTCTAATTCCATCTTGGCTCCCGTTCCCTCGCTCGCAGGGGGCCGCAACCCTCTCCCTCCCCTCCCCGTTGGGTGCATGCGTGCTGAGGCAGGAAAAAAAGAAAAAGGTGGGAGCCACCATTTTAGGCAGCTGACGTGCAAAATGGCCGATCGCCTYTCCCTTGGCGCTCGCCACGCGGGCGGGAGCGTTCGGGCGGCGTCGATGGCGCTGGGTGGATCCTCCGGGTGCCACGTCCTCCCCAACCATGGTGAGCTCGGTTCTGAGGGGGCTCATCCCGCCCGAGGCTGAGGGGATTTGGGATTTCTCTTTTACCCGGGGCGTCGCGGCCACGAAAGCCACCCCCGTCACAAGGCGCCAACCCGCACCCTAAAATTGGCCTTTTTTCACCTAATCTCTGGGTTTTGCACTTGGTATGGCACCAAAGGCACCTCTATAATCTWTTTTTACCACATTTWMAAAAAAAAATATTGTTCAAAATGCCTTCCATGCCTCCTGGGGACATTGTAGGGCTTGAGGCTTGGCTGCAGGATTTTTTTTCCTAGATGCGCTAGATGATATTTCATTCTTTGTGTACCGTGATAACATTAGCGAAACAGCTGTTTAATTTTTTTTTTTTACCCCTCATCCCTCTTTTGGACCAGAAAAATTCAATAGCCTAATTTTTTTTTTTTTCTGTTGCTGAAACCATTTCGTGGCTGTTTAGGAAATGGGAAAGGAATCAATGTGAGACAAGAGCGACTTCAACCCCTCCTTGTGCGCCCTGGCCTGAGGTGTGAGGGACTTTGCCTGGCCCAAGGGATCTGTGGGCACAAAGTTATTGTGCTCAGGTTAATCTGAGAGGGGAAAAATCTCTTCACACAACTGGCGGGGTGGAAAGTGATTAATTTTACACAGCACTTGAAATATTTTGGGGTGTTTTGTTTGAAGACCCGTTGGAAGAGGTTGGTGGTTTAGGCGAAAATCTTGGTGTTCCATGAGGCTGCGTTTGTTGTTTCTTTTTAATTTCTCCCCATCCCTCTGTTGCCATGAGACCTAGAAACTTAAAAGCCTAAATATGCTGAGTGAGTTTAACCCTGGTGTGACGGGAATTTTGCAAGCAGGTTAAAACCAACTCAAAATTAATCCCTAGAAGGAAAATAAATCACATTTTTTTTGCCGGTGGGCTGATGCTGGAGCCTCAGACAAGCCTGGCTGGGGGCAGCCCAGTGGGGTTGGGTCTGTCCTCCTCTGTCTGGTCCCTGGTGGGGTCTGGAGGTGGGAAGGGACAGGGGAAGGGGTGAGAAGGGACAGAGGAAGGGGTGGGAAGGGACAGGGGAAGAGGTGGCTGTCACTGCTGCAGCTCTTTAGCTCGAGTTCTGAAGGGTGTGCAGCCACGCGCTCCACTCCGCCTGCCAAACGTGCTTAGTCAGGAATGGGAAATACTTCCCTAAAACTTGCAAAAATGCGCTAAGGCTCTTAGCTCTTGGGCTAAGCTGCAGCTACTTAGTCCATTTCTCACTGCTTTTATTTATAAACTTTAGTCCGTGCTGGGGGAATTTTTTTTCTCCCTTCCTTTTTTCTGTTTTTCTTTCCCCGGGATAGGGCACAGGAATGTGTTGGAAGCGGGGCTGGAAGGAGAGGATGGGTCTGGGCACTGCTGCTCAGCTCCCACCGGTGCCCCTCACTGATTTTTCACAGGATCAGGTTGTCCCCCATTTCTGTAGTGTTTGAGATGATTTATGGGACTAATGGACAGGAGAACAAGCTCTTTCTTTGGCCCTTCCTCTGTTAAACCTCGTCCGTTCTGGGTGTCTAAATCCATGTGTAACCTGTGAGTAGCCACAGCTGGAGGCAGAGTTTAGACAGATGGGAATGACACAAAGTGAACATTAATATACTATTAAAATATAAAACAACTCTGCAAGGATGCTCCAAAGCATCCAGAGGGTCAGGGCTGCTYGGGTTKGGTATTTTCAAGCAGGGATGAGYGGTGCTGGAGCTTTGCTGCTTGGTTCCTGCTGCACTTAAGGGCCTTCAGGCTCCTCCTTTGGTCCAAGACTTCCCCTCAAAAAGGATTTTGCTGGTGATGGGTGTCCTCAAGCTCAGCCACAGCTAARTGCTCAGGACACCCAGGATAAATCCCCCGAACCCCAGGATGCTCTGAGTTTGGCTTTGGTTTTTGGTGGAGCATTCATTGTCCTGGACAGGGAGGAAAACCTGCAGAGCACAGCTCCCCAGAAAGCAAGGAAAGAATAAAGAAGGTGGTTTTTGGACTTAGATTTACAGTTTTTGGTCCTGCTTTGTAATTTTTGAGTACATGGAGCTGGCTCTGCACATGACTGGCACCAGAACCAAATCCCCCCAGAGCCCCTCTCGGTCCCTACCAGGACATCTCAGGTTCAGAAACCAGCCCAGCTCCAAGGATGCTGAGACTTTCCAGCTGAATTCTCAGTTCCTTATTTCCTGATTGTGGCAGAAACGTGGCTGTGATCTCCCTGCCCTGGTGTAATCCAGCTCCTGCCATTTAACGTGTTCCCATCCTCTTTTCTCTCTCTTGCCAGGCTGGATGTGGGTTCACCCTCCGTGATGCTCRTTTTCTGGCTGACCAATCCCAGGTCTCTGGCCCTGGTGAGAGTTCACTGGGAATATCCTGGTAAGTGGATTTTTTTAAATTCTTGACTTTTTGAAAAAAAGATTTTTTCCTAAGCTCTTACACTGGGTCTGACACCGTCACGCTGCTGGGATGGGCTGAGTGTCTCTAAATGCTTGGGGACTGGTGAGAGCTCATGGTGCCCACGTGGTGGGGAAAACGAGGGACCAAATCTCCGTGGTCACCAGCACCTTCCTTGCTGGCCACTCGGTCCAAAATCTCAAACACCTGGATTTTTTTTCTGTGTTTAACATCTGTTCTCATGGGTTTGTTAACTCATAATCCCCCAGCCCTRGGGGAGCTGTCTGTCCCATCCACAGGAACAAAGGGCTCCTTTGGGGTTCTTTGATGGGGGATGTGTTTTGAATGGAAAGGGGGCAATAAAGGTGTTTCTGTTGTGTTTGATTTTCGCTCAGATTGGCTCATTATTCCATGAACGAAGGAGTGGGGGTTTAATGGAAACCCTTCCCTCCAAAAGCCATGAGATCTGATGAGGAGCCACCAGCAGGACCTTGAGGCACCCTCAAAAGAAGCCCCTCACCACATCTGATCCCACTGCAGCCTCCTCCTCTCCCAGGCACACCCTGGAGCGTGATGTGCACCCTGATTTTCACCAATGTCCATCCTGGCTGACCAGGGCTGCTGACCAGCACCTCGGCGTGGGGACATCGGCCACGGACAGGGGGACAYCGCCATCCTGCCACTGCACATGGCCCTCTCTGGTGAGACATGGCTGGGATGTGGAGCACAGGTAGAGCCCACAGCGGTGGGCAGCTGGCCTGAGGAGGAGGTGATGTGCAGGGGGAGAGGTGCTGGGAAGGGACAGTGTGTTTATTATCGAGGCGCAGCTGAAGCGAGTCCTTTGCCAGTGGTCAAGTCTGAATCACAAACTCCGCATTGTTTCCGAGTGTGTTCAGCACATTTCCCTTCTCCCCCTCCCTTTCCCTTTCCTCTCCTCTCGCCCTTGCACAAAGCTGTCATTGTGCCGGGGACTTGGTGATGGCAGCGTTGTTATTTGGTCAAAAAAAAAAAAAAAAAAAAAAAGAAGAAGAAAAAGAAAGAAGTGGGGAGGGGGGGACCCAACAAGGTGAAGAGGTTTAAATCAGCTTAGCCCAAATGCCAATTAAAAACCAAAGAGGATTAGGCTTGTGATCAGCAGAATAGACAGTCATTGTACCCGGGAGGAGGTTCCCCCTCCCCACCGCAGGTCTCACTGGGATCGGCTCCCTCGGCAGGACAGGGCAGGGCAGGGGCTGTCCCTGAGCCCGGGGCTGGGCTGTCCACCTGCCAGAGCCTTTGACAGGGCAAGGAGAGCCCCACAGGTTCCCTGTGCAAAGACATTTTCTTGCTTTCTTTAAGTGTGTGCAAGGACTCTTGACTCGCCTKGAGTTCAGCCGAGCAGGGGGAGGTTTCAGCCTCTCTGCTGARGGCAAAGACTGCCCTGAAATCAGCTCTCAGGCTGAGAGCATCCCTCGGGGGGCTGCTGGAGGGTCTCTGGGGTGAGCTCCTGTGTGGGGGCTGGGCAGACACTTTCCCATCTCCCCAGAATCCCCATGGTGCTCCAGCTGCTTATGCTGGCTGAGGGCTCTCTCCCACTGCAGGACCGTGGGTCAGACCTCTGCTCCAGCATCACCTTTGGTCCCAGGCTGTGGTGACAAAGTAGCAGGACTGTCACATGAATTCTCCTCCACCCAGTGGAGATCCAGAGAAGATTTAGCTCTTCCCCACTCCATGGCCTGGAGGTGTCRTGTCAGTGCTCTCTGCCTGGTTTAGTCCTCTCTGCCACCCACTAACTTGCTGTTTCCATGGTTTGAAGCCTGAAGTAGCCAGAACCCGTGGTTCTTGTAGCCCACTCACTTGTGAGAGGAGCAARGGCTTGGTGAGGTGTGTCTGGGTGCTTGCTGGGCTCAGAGCCATGGGGTTCACCCAGCTCTATCCCAGTACATCTGTGAACTGGTAAAACCCCAGGAAGATGCAGCGTGGTAGCAGAAATCAGTCTGTGGCTGTGGCCATTTAATTCCTGACTCTGCTGACAGAGCAGTGAAGGCAAGTCCCACACAGCCAAAAATGCTGCACTGGTGTGAAAAAGGYGTTGCCAGAGCAGCAGTGTCCTGATGTCACACTGGCTACTTAAAACTTGCCCTCGCTTAGGTGGAAAATGTAATTCTAGACTCACTTTGAGGTTATTTTGTAAAGGAAATGTGCCAAGTGTAGGTGGGAGCTGGGCCAAGCAGGGAGAGGTTTAAGGGACTTCAGCCACAAATTCTTGAGCACCTCCGAGTCTGAGTGGGGGTGAGCAGCCTGGGTCCCCCTCTTTTAACCTGCCTGGCAGTTGGGGGTGCAAAGGCACCCCCTCCACACCTATCCTGCCTCTTTTTAGGGTCTCTGCGAGGTGGATCCTCTCTGCTGATGGAGACCATCTCCTGGCTGAGGTGACTGGTGGATCCCACTGTCCTTCTTTGTCCGGGGATGGCTGTGATGGAGTCTGCTCCACTCCAACCATCTCCTGGAAGATGCTGAGYTGGGAGTCGCTGTGATCAGCTCGAGATGCAAAATGCTCCTGGCCTTGAGCCAGGGAGAGGAAAAAGGGAGTGAAAGAACCTTTTCCTTGGAGAACAGAAGTTGAAAGCGTCCCACTTCTGGACCAGAAGCCGCTTTCTCTCTGGTCCTTCTGAAGGATCGCAGTTGTGCTGAGGCTGTGGGTGCTCAGAGAGGCAGAAAGCAGGACAGCAAAGGAAATGCACTTTGAGGGGACAGGGAAAGATTGAAGGGGATGTCGTGGGCTGGAAGGTCCCTCCTTTGGGGGATGCCCAGTGGCACCCAGTGAGCRCCCGGGCGGTGGGAGCTGGGGAAGAAGGGGGTAGCATCATCGGCCGCTTTTTGTGGCCGCCGTGTAATTTATGATATGAGAGAAGTCCATTGTCTGGACCCATCCTGTATTTTTTCCGAGGGCTTTGCCTCTCTTCCCAGACCCCCGCTGTGCTCCCGCTACTGTACGGTTGCTATGGGGCTGCTCCCCGTGCCGCGGCTATGCGGGGCAGTGCCGGGGAGGGCTGCCCGCCGCTGCCGGACCCATCTGGAGCCCCGCGCCCGCTGCCGCAGCCCAGCCGCCCGCCGGCCCCGCTGACGTGCCGAGGGCCTGGGAATGGGGCTTTGGGCCCATCCAAGTTCACGGCCACCGGAGGCATTCAGCTGCTGTGTAGGGGCGGGGGGGAAAGCGGGATCTGGGGCGTTTGGCTCCATTCTCCCTTCCCTTTCAGCGCCGGCAGTGTCCTCGGTGCATACAGATCCCCCGTCCCTTTCTCCTCCTGACAAGTGCACACATAAATAAATTACCCCACCGGGCGAGTGTGGAACAATCTGTCCCCTAAATTCTATTCATCGCCAGACAGGACTCATTATTCCCCCGATTAAAGCCGCTGGAGTAGCTTGCAAGGGTTACAGTTACTCTGTCAAACTGTAAATAAGACACTAAAAATAAAGGGCGCTGGCGAGAGAAGGGGGAAAGGGAAGCCAGACTAATGCCTGCTGCTAGGGAAACCGAATGAATCCCTAATGACGCCTGTGTACAAACTGCAAATAATGAAGGAAAAGTGACAAACAGACCTCGGCCAGGCTGTGGTGAGGTCCTCACTCYGTGGTGGCAGTGGGGACCAGCTCGYCCCTTCCTCCAGGGAGAGCCACCAAGGAGCAGGACCCCCTTCTATACCCCTCTGAGAAGAGCAGTTAAGCCCTTGCCCTTCACTTACGGGAAGGTTTAGGTCTTGTGGGTGTGTTTCTTTTTCAGGCACAGAACCCACCCCTGCCTGATCCCAAATTTGAGGTTGCAGGGAGAAGCTCCATCGTTTGTGGCCTCAGGGCAKCGTGCAAGGCGGCAGCACCCAAACTTCAGTTTGTGCTCTGCTGTTAGAACAGCTCGGAGCTCTGATCTAGCACAGGGCTGGCACCAGAGGGGTTAAATCCATCCTTCTGCCCACCCTGAGCCCTGAGGGACACAGCYCAGGCTTTTTGCCACCTGCAGCAGCTCATCAGTCTCACGGCTGAGGTGGAGACACAGGGCTGAGTCCCCAGCCTGGATCTGCTCCTCACCACTGCCTGTGCCATGATAAATCACACAGGAGGATGTGTCCAGCTCTAGAAAACCTCTTTGGATAAAACACTGTCCTTCCTGGCTGCTCTCTTGCCAGCCATTCACCTCCCAGCAGATCCTTTTTTCTCCTTTGATATCTTAGAGCTGAAGAAATAAGGCAAAAAAAAAAAAAAAAAATCAGCTATAGGCTTGTCGTGGGTGTTTCTCAGTTCCAGAGGGACTGAAATGTGAGAGTTTTATTTCAGATCCCGCTTGAACTATTCCCACCACCTGCAATGGGCGAAATGCTGGAGTTCTCTGTGTTGCTCAGGGAAATATTTTGATTTGTACCCCTCCAGATGAATTCTTGCTCTCCAAAGGAGAGGGAAGGTCCTGGTAGGGCCATGAGGTCCTTGGGAGCCAGAACAGATGTGTGACCATGCTGGACACTGAGCTGTCATCCCCCAGATCGGTGTGGATGCCTCAGTGCACTCCCACCCTCCCCCAGAGCTTTTCTGGAGCCTGATCTACACAAAACGCCCAGGAAAGGCACAGCCAAGAGCAGGAGGAGCAGAAGACACCAATCCCTGCCTGGTGGAAGCTGCTCAGCCTGGCACCCACCAGCAGCAGAATTGCAAGTGGCCTCATGCAGGCAGAGGGTTTTTCAGAGAAACACTTTGCTTGGGGCTTCTGCAAAGCTCAGACATCTTAAAAGGGATTTTTCAGACCAGCCAAGCTAGTCTGGAGCCCAGTTGCATTTCACAGTCAGGTCAAACCTGGGCTTAGCAGATTTGTTTCCTTTCTATCTTAGGGGAAAACAACCCTTTTCACCCACAATTCCTGGCTGTGGGGCCTCATGACTCCACAGCAGCATTCCTGGGGACATTCCTGATGGCCTGGTATGTGCAGAATTTCAAACAGGCTCCACAGCTCCATGTGCTCTCCCAGCTGGGCTCTATTATCTGGGAGAAACCCCAGCATGTAGCAGGAGATCCATTATTGCCATTAGCAGTGGTGGTGTCTGTGCAGCTCCCACAGACCCTGTGCTCCTGTCCTTTTTCTGCAAAATTTACCACCTTAGCTGGAAAAAGAGCAGCTTGAAAAAGTCCCAGAATCAGCCAGGCCTGAGCAAGTCAAACCCAYGCCATGGAAATGGGCAGCTCTTCACCACACCTGCTCCTTGGAGGGTGCCTTTAGAAGAGTTTTGGGTTTTGGGAACCTCCTGCTATCCTGGGAGAGGGTTTTGATCCCTCAGGTTTTGCTCCCTTGGCAGACTGAGGATCCGGGGGCAGTGTCAGAGCCAGGGATTTGGGAATGCTCAGATCCCCTTGAGACCGCACTGGAAATGGCAAAAAGGAACTTTGCTGGGCAAAAAATAACTTACTTAGGCAAAAAATAACTTAGTTGGGCAAAAAATAACTTAGTTGGGTAAAAAAATAACGTAGTTGGGCAAAAAGGAACTTATTTGGGCAAAAAGGAACTTAGTTAGGCAAAAAAAGAACTTAGTTGGGCAAAAGGAACTTAGTTGCCTTTTCCTGCCTGAACCTCTTGGGTCACATTTTCCAAGGTTTCTCTCAACCTGTAAAAATAGAATTATTGCTGCTTTTTAATGGAAGCCATGATTCCCCTCCATGTTAATCAGCCAATGCCAGAAACTCGAGTTTTACCACAGTTTTTGAGGAGATGTGGGGGGTGTTGGCCCTTGAGCAAAGCACATCCTGACCTGATTTGCCCTGGACAGATGAGGATGACCCAGGACTCCATTTTAAATATCTTTATACCAGTTCTGAGGAAATCCTGTTCCTCTTTYCATTACCTCAAGACACCTTTTTCCCCCATCCATGGATGTCATCTGGTTGTGTCCACAAACCAGAAGCTGGCAACTCATCCTTGGACCTTCCAAGATGGCTCAGCAAAGTCCCAAGGACCGTATTTCTGTCACACCACTGTCAATCCCAGTCCCTTTTTAAGGATTAGAACAAGGCAAAAACCTTCAGTTTGGTTTAATCCCCAATACCTGATTCTGGAGGAGTTTGCTGGTGCACACAGAGCGCACACACATTTCAGTAATAGCCAGGTAACTCACAGGGCTAAACCACTCCGGGTTTTTTTTTCATTATAACCTCCTTCTAAAGCACCTTTAAATGCTTCCCTGCAGGCTCATGCAAAGGCTGTTAAGGGCTTCATTTGAATAAATAAGGGCAGAGGTAGAGGAGGAACATCACCACAGCCCCCTGGAAACCCGAGGCCAGTGATGGCAGCAATGGGCTGGCGAGTGGCAAAGGGCCTCCATGTTATATATTCCATAAAGTAGAGTAATTAAGTATTACTAGTTTTGATGACTTCAAACAGAGTGACTCCAGGAAATAAGCCCCTTCTTTATAATTAGTGGGATTTCCTCTGCATCAAACGGAGAGATTGATTCTTTAATCTGCTCACATGCTTTTGATTTGGTCTTTCAGCTGCTTGTACCAACTGCTTCTACTCCCTGCTCTTGCCGATAAAACCTTGCAAAGGAGATTTTAGGAAGGCATGACCTGAGTTGAGGTCCAGGATTTTCTTTGTGTGTGGYTGTTTTGTGTATTCCTAATTTGCCAGAGATGATGATCACGGTGATAGCAATAATAAAAAATAACACAGTCAAGGGTTTTTAACACCCATATATGCTTAGGTCAGATAATTGGGTTTTGGGGTTTTGGTGATTGTCTCCTTTTTCTTCCCAGCACACCTCCTAGCTCTGGCTCATGCTCTTTAACACCTGAAAAGGTAATTTTGGCTAMCAGTCCACATGTGAGCTGGCCCACATTGTTCTTGTAAAGAGAGCACAGACCTAACTCTGGGGTCTGGCCAGGATGTCAGAATTCCAAGGACTCCACTGAAGTAAGGGCTTGATCTCTGCAGGGTCTTTTTTAGAGAATTTCAGGTGTTGGACCTCATTTGGGACTAAACACAGGAACTTGGGAAGCTCTGTCTGATATTTAATGGATTGTGGCTGCCCTATCCCAATGTCCAAGGATGTCCAAGGGGTGTCCAAGGCCAGGCTGRACAGGGCTTGGAGCAACCTGGCTGGTGGCAGAGGGTAGAATGAGATGAGATTTAAGGTCCCTTCCAATCCAAATGCCATGATTCTGTGAAAATCCCTGAAAATGTCTCTGTGTTCCAAAGGAAGAGTTCAGGAGGGAGTGGGAGCTTGTCCTCTGAGGTGCAAGGAGCTGGTGATGAGCAACTGCTCCTTGCTGGGTATTTCCATGGGATTGATGGCACTGTATCCATCACATGGGAAATTTGGGCTCTGGGATCAAACCTTCCACCCCCAAAGCAGCTCAGATCTCGAACCAACGCAGCAAACAGCCCCTGGCTGGATTTCCTTCCGGCACATGAGGTTCTTCTGGGAAAAAAGGGGGRAAATTGGGACTATGCTGCTTCCCATCCACCTTTTGATCCTGTTGGAAACGTGCAGGATGGGCAAGAGAGAGAGCTGCGGGTCTTGTGTGGCATCCCAGAGGGTGAAAATGAGGGGACAACGGCTCTGTTTTGGCAACTGTAGGATGAGGAGTGGCATCACTCCCACCAACGAGGTGCAAAGGGCAAAAAGGGGATTATTCCACCCCTTTCTGGCAACACCAACCCACAGGGAGGAGCCGTGGGGTGGGGATGGATCATCCCAGGCTCACCTGGAGCAGGAACAGGAGCGGGAATGCCGCGAGCAGTGGTTGGTATGCCCTGCACAAACCTCCCCGCGTCTGGAGCGCTGTCGAACACGGATCGTATAATTAGGGAGCCGGTGAATACGTAACTGTACATTATGCAAATAGTGATCAAAATCACTGTTTTCAGCAGAAATGCCTGAAGATCAAGACAGAAGCTTCATGCAACCTTAATTTAATCTGGTCCTGCAGGAGTGGGGAGGTCTGATGGATGACCCAACCTTGTGCCTGCCCGTGTTTAGCAAGGCAGGGGTGGGAGGTGGGGGAGGAGTGCTGGAGCATGCTAAGCGAGGGGAAAATGGCAYTGGAATCATGTTAGCAAACAGGGAAAAATGTCAGAAAGTGCTGATGTTTACAGTGATTCTATTTTTCTTTTAATTTCAGGCGAAGAACATAAGGCTGGAAGAATAGGAAAAWTTTTTTTTAAAAATGAAGAAAAGAAAGAAAAAGAGGCTCCAACCCCAGGAAATCTGTGTTAATTGCTTATGAATGTCTCTGTCTAAAAAATTATCGAATTGATGTTGTCGTGCTTTTTTTGACAGCCTGTCTGTTACATTTTTTTAAAATATTCATGCACCGAAATCTAATTACTAGGCAAATTTAATGATAATGAAATGAAGGCACTTTAGCAGAAAGCACAGGGCCTTGTTAATGTTTTCTCAGCCTCTGTCTTGTTCATATTTTTAATTTTTTTTTTTTTTACAACTGTCTTTCTTGCATATGGAAAAAAAAAAAAGATTGCTGAAAATAAAACTCGGATTGCCGATAATGTTTGTGGTGGCTCTGTTTGTAATGATGGGGAATTTGCAAGGTGATTAAAGGTGTTTTGCAAAAATCAAATGAGCCTAACCTAATCAGATAAGGCAGATGAAATATTATTATTAGAGGGGTACCATTAAGAGCACGCCTGAAGGCTTTAACAGAGATGGAGTCTCTTGTGAGCTGTGCAGGGCCAGCARCAGCTTTGCCATCCCCTGGGCCTCTCCAGCCGCTTTCCAGGGCACAGCACTTGTCTGGGCTCTCCTTAAGCCAGGCCTGGATGGTTGGAGGATTCACACCATGGCTGGAGGATGCATGAGATAGCTGGAGTGGGGTTGTGATTAAAGGGGAATGCAGGTGATGGATGGAGCATGCATGTGTGACAGTTGGAGGAGGCTCATGATGGCTGGAGAACACGTGAGGTATGGAGCATGAACATGATCAAGCATGCACAGGGTGGATGGAGCACACATTTGACAGTTGGAACGTGTGTGATGGATGGAGAACACATGGGATGGGTGGAGCACACAAGGGGTGGTTGGAACATGTGTGTGATGGATGGAGCAAACATGGGATGGGTGGAGCACATGGGTTGGTTGGAACACACATAGGATGGGTAGAGTACACATGGGATAGGTGGAGCACACATGGGATGGTTAGAACGTCTGTGATGAATGGAGCACACATGGGATGGTTAGAAGTGTGTGATGAATGGACAACACGTGATGGAGCACACATGGGATGGGTAGAGTACACATGAGATGGATGAGCACACATGGGATGATTAGAATGTGTGTGATGGATGAGCACACATGATGGAGCACACATGGGATGGTTGGAGCACACATGGAATGGATGGAGCACACATGATGGAGCACACATGGGATGGTTAGAACATCTGTGATGAATGAAGCACACATGATGGAGCACACATGGAATGGATGAGCACACATGGGATGGATGAGCACACATGGGATGGTTAGAACATGTGTGATGAATGGAGCACACATGGAATGGTTGGAGCACACGTGAGATGGATGGAGCACACATGGGATGGTTAGAACGTCTGTGATGAATGGAGCACACATGATGGAGGACACATGGGATGGCTGGAGCACACATGGGATGGGTAGAGCACACATGGGATGGATGAGCACACGTGGGATGGATGAGCACACATGGGATGGTTAGAACGTGTGTGATGAATGGAGCACACATGATGGAGCACACATGGGATGGTTGGAGCACTCATGGGATAGGTGGAACACACATGCTGAAGCACACATGGGATGGTTAGAATGTCTGTGATGGCTGGAGCACACATGGGATGGGTGAGCACACATGTGATCAATGGAACACATGATAGCCTGGAGCATGCACATGATGGACCTTCCATGTGATGGTTGGTCCATCTTCTCCAGGCCCCTCCTGCACTCCTCTGGGTGGGCATTGAGCAGAGTG